GCCCATGCACAGGGAGCCCTCAGTGTTCCCAGCGCTGCCCGAACCTGCTGGAAGTGCAGGACACGCCTGATCATTCCAGTTAATTGATTTTTCTAACTCCACTCAATGGCTCTTTGTCTGGCTCTGGAAACATTCAGCAGCATCCACTGCAATTCCAGCACTGTGGAGTTGTTCTGCTCACACCTCACAGGGCTGCACCTCCAGCTGCCAGGGCTCAATTCAGCTGCGAGCACAAAATCCTGGAAAATAACATCCAAAATCTTTTCTAGATGCTGTCTGCATTTCCCTCTAACAACCCTACAATCAGGATGAAGTAAATAAGAAAAAATAAAGGCTTTCAGCTACCCAGGCCTTCAGGTGGCAACTCTGCCTTCCCCACAAAAGCAAAACACACACATTGCACAATGTTGCTCCAGAAACCAAAAAGCAGCTCCAGCTGATGTTCCTAAGGTTCCTGTGCAAACCACCACCACTGGGAATGCAACTTAGTCTACAGAGAGCTCCCTGCAGTTCTCTCCAAAGCAATTCAAGCAATCAATTGCTTTTTTTCTGGCAGAGATGCTGCAGATGCATTTCAGCTGTGAAGGGCAGCAGCAGCTCCCCTTGGCCACCGCCTGTGCTCCGAGGCCTCTCCCAGGAACACAGCTCTTGGCTTTTTTTAAATTTTTTTAAAAAGCAACTGAGAGATCCCCAGTGGGATGTCTGAAAAGGCAAATAAACAGCTGCTCAGACAACACATCTGCCGTGTGTAGCTGCCATGGCTGCATCCTGTGACAAATGAGATGCTGAGAAAGGGACCGATGGTAAAACAATCTGGTGCAGACTCCTTTAGACCAAGGTTCATCCAATACCTGTCTGAGGACCTTTGGGAATACCTGAGCCAGGGAGGATTTTCCTACTTTTGCAGTTTTATGCAGAATTGAAAAAGAAATTAGCAAGATGTAATTTATTAAGTTGCATTCAGAGCTCCCCAGAAAGCTGAAGCATGGTCCAGGAGGACGCTCACAGGCTGTCCCATGTACCAGTACAAGGTGATGATCCCATCCACATCCCACCTCTAAGGGTTACAGTCCATAAAAACAGGCTGAGATTCCAACATAAAGTTCATCTGGATGTTTCTAGCTAATAGAATTAAAGAGGAAACAGGGTTTTAAAACACTCTTCCAAGTTCACATCAACAAGTTCCCTAGATCTGGGATAAAATATCCCTGCAGGGACAAAGCACAGCACAAACTGAATCATGGCATGCTTTGGATTGGAAGGGAACTTCAAAGGTCATCTAATCCACCCCCTGCCCTGGGTGGGAACACCTTCCACTAGACCTGGCTGTTCAACCTCTCCAACCTAGAACGCTTCCAGGGATGGAGCAGCCACATCTTTTCCAGTGTGAAGAAATGTTTCCAACCCAAACCTCCCCTGGTACATCTTGAGGCCATTTCCTCTCGTCCTCTCCCTTGTTCCGTGGGAGCAGAGCCCAACCTGCCCTGGCTGTCCCCTCCTGGCAGGGACACAGAGCCACAAGGTCCCTCCTGAGCCCCCTTTTCTCCAGGCTGAGCCCCCCCAGTGCTCCTGGTGCTCCAGCCCCTCAAGGTCTTGTTGAGGTGTGGCACTGTGGGCTCCTGATGGAAGATCAGGATGAGCAGAAGTTGTCTTCACCTCAAATATTGCATGGAGTCAATCAGAAACAAAATACAACTGCAGCATGTGCAACTCTTCCTTAATTAACTACACAAAATTACGGCTTTTGAGAAGCTCAGTCTTGAAACTAAAGAGCCAGAGTGCAAAATTTTAGTAAGCTCAGCTCTGCTGAAGAAGCAAATTCTTATAGGGCATAATGTGTTTTATAAGAAAATGGGGAGAAACGGAGGAAAAATAGAAAGAAAATCATCTGTTTTTTAAAAAAATGGAATCTTGTTATTAGAAAAAATAGTATAAAGTGTAATTTCTGACAGGGAAATAACGGTGCCCTAATTCCTAAATGAATCAAGCAGCCCCTTATCCTCATTCCTGTACAGGAGTGAAGAGTGTGGGATCTGCCCACAGTTATCCTATCCGGGATAACTGCAGGTCTGGCACCCACAGGAGAAGCAGTATTGGTATTTAAAGAATATCATTTATGAAAGAACATACATAAATATGCAAGTATTTTAAAATATAATTTATCACCAAAAGAAGCATATTGCAACCATTCCAAGGAGCACCACAACAACAAAATTTTCCTATTAAACCCCAGCAGAAGAAAAAGAAAATCCATAGGATTTACATCAAATACACTTTAAAAGGACACGCCTGGTCTCAGTACACACCTCAAATACGTGCAGCTAGGGAATGATGTCACTGTGTTTGGAGGGCAGTAACAGCTTGTCTTGACAGCCATCCCCAAAAGTCCAATTTGGACAAGACTCAGGAATCTCATGCAACAGCAACAAAAAAAAAATCCCAAACAATAGCCCCAAGCTGTTCATGAAAGGTAAATTAAGAAAACAGAGAAGCTGCAGAAAAAAAAAAAAAAAATCTTAATTTTGCTCCACTTCCGCTCCTGCTGTGTGAGCATGACAGCAAAGGCATTCCCAGAACAGGAGGTTCCATGCACTTGTCCTGCCAGAGACTCTTTTCAGGCAGAGAAAGAGATCTGTGGGTCCAAGGGAGCTCTTGGCTGCTCCATTTTCTAAATGAGAAGTCGCAGCACAAAGAGCTGTGTCGCTGCCTCTGAAGGACAAACCTGAGCTGAGCACAACCTGATCTTAAATATGCAAAGGGAATGCAGAAGGTGTCTGGAGGAGAGAAGAAGAACAAAGGAAAAGAAGAAAAAAAAAATCCCCAAAAGTTTGACATCTAAACTTCCAGAGTTTATTCAATTTATTTCAACCACAACTTAAAAGGTCAAATCTGCAAATGCTTTGCAGAGTAGTGCAACCCAAAGCTCTGCTCTGAAGATTCCTTTCTTGGGAAGCTCTAGAAAGAGAAGGAAAAGCAGAAATATAGGCACTTTATCTTTCAGGCTGCCTGATTTGTGACTATTTGGGACCAGTGCTGGCAGAGCAGAAGAAATTCTGGATTACCCCCCCTTTTTCCAAGAGGCCTGGAAGCAGACACAGCACAACAGCAGCAGTCCAGCTGCTGGAGTGAAGGAATGCAAACTTCTGTTCCAACAGCAAAAAAAAAAATATAACAGATATGATTCAGGATTTTTTTTTCCCTCAAAAACAGCTGCAGATCTTGCGAAAGGAAAACAAAAGGCTGGAGTGCATCCCTGCCCTCCACCTCATCCCAGCACACACAACTTGCCAGATCTGGGGCTTTGAGCAACCTCAGCTAGAGGAAAGGGAATCAAGGAGAGGAACTACAAAGCTGCTTTATAAAGGAAAAGAATATTAAGAATTAGGAAGGAATTCTTCCCTGTGATGGTGGAGAGGTCCTGGCACAGAGAAGCTCCAAACTCCATTCCTGGAATTGCTCCAGGCCAGGTTGGATGGAGCTTGGAGCAGCCTGGAATAGAGGAAGGTGTTGCTGCTCATGGCAGGGGGTGGAATGGGATGGGAATGGGATGATCCCTCCAACCCAAACCCTTCTGGGAATGGTGCCCAGAAGAAGGGAGTGGCCACCACCAGAGCAGGATTCCCAACAAACCATTTGTGATGCCTCTCTCCATCCAAGAGCCAAGCAAATACACAACCTATTCCTGAGAAAAGCAGAATCTAAGAAAAAAGAACAATTCCCCAAACTTCCCTCTACTCTTCTTTTCACAGAGATCTCTTCTCCCCACCCCCAGAAATGTAACCTAGACAGACATGCTCTCTCTGACACTGCTAAAGAGAACTATAAAATGACCTTGGTCCAACGTGACACATTAGCAACAATCAAAAACTAAAGAGCATGGAAGTGTTTCAAATAAATAACAGGATTGCAGGTGGAATAACAGGACTGGAGGTGGAATGCAACAGTCTTCATGCCAGTTTGCTGAAATTAATGTGGTCACCAACGTGGGTCACCACAGTAACCACCATTAATTACATTAATCTGATGTTTCCTCATTAACTCCAGAGAGTGAGAGGGGGAGGATGCATGCACCAAAAAACCTCCAGGGATCGTGGCTTCCAAGGACAATGGCATGGCTGGAGCTGACACATCACCCATGTGCAGATGGGCTTTAAGCAACAAAATTCAAACCAGCAAAGCTGGCAATTCCAAGGAAAACCATCTCAACCACTATGAGGCAAACTCATGACTAATTAATTAATTAATTGATGCTGGCATTCCACTTCACAGTTTCATACCGGAAAAGTTGATGACCAAGTTTATCTAACCTCTAATACACAGGAAGAGTCTTTAAGCAACAAAATTCTAACTGGCAAAGCTGTCAATTCCAAGGAAAACCGTCTCAACCACAATGGGGCAAGCTCATAACCAATTAATTAATTAATTAATTGACTTCAGCATTTCATACCTGAAAAGTTGATGGCCAAGTTTACCTAACCTCTAATACAAAGGAAGAATCCTCATAAAGTAACCAATAAGTGGCCAAATCAAACACTCATGGTCAGAAAACACAATTTTGACCATGAAAGTTACCTTTGATTTCTTCCCCAGCTCAAAGAAGCTGACTGCACAGAAACTCCATAAATACAACATTATCAATACATTGTGTGCAATGAAAAATCCCTTTTCAATATACCAGAAAATTGCTACTGATAATTCTCATTTCTATTTTCCCACTGAGATAAACCTGCACTGAGAAACACTTGAGTGAAAACAAAGCATTAACAAATCTGGCAGCAAGCCATCTGCTGTACTTTTGCTTTTTCCTCTTTTTTTTGGAAGCAGGTAATATTCTATAGGTGGAAACACAAGCTTCCTTCATTGGTAATGCTGTTGCCACTTTATTATCAGTATTTAGCAGACAACCACAGAGTTAACTGTCACAATAAAAATCCCAACTACTCGGGTTTGGTTTTTTTCACCGTTAAAACATTTCCACGCTCCTATCGTTTCCATCTTACCTCAAGCACTGGGCCAGCTCCAAGAATAATCTGTTCTACTCCACTGGCAAATCCCTTCTGGCTGAGGGCGGTGAGGTGATGAATCAGAAAGTTGGTGCTCTGTGTCTTTCCCGAGCCGCTCTCCCCTGAAATCACGATGCACTGGTTCTTCTTCCTCTGGAGCATAGCGTGGTAAGCCACATCTGCCACGGCGTAAATGTGGGGCTCCAGCTTCCCCAGCTGATGGTTGTCGTACATCTTCACATACTTGGGGTTATAAATAGGTAGGAACTTGAAGGGGTTAATAACAATGAGGATGCTGCCAACATAAGTGTAGATTTTTTCCTGCTTGAAGCGGTTTCGGAGATTTTCCAGGAGCGTTTTCTCGTTCAGGTCCGGCAAACCGCACAAGTCATCGTAGTCCTTCTGCTGGGGCTGGGGGAGGAAGCCTCTCTCCACCATCCTGCGCCGCTCCTCCGTCACCCTCAGCCACGACTGCAGGCTCCCGTAGTGGATGGAGCCGTCCAGGTTCTTCTCGCGCAGCAGGAAGCGATAATCCTCGCCGCTGATGCGGTTCTCCAGCGCCATGCGCGGCCACAGCATCATGCGCTGCACCGGGCAGTCCGTGGGGTTGAGGATCCATTCCTCCCCTCCAAACTCCTTCACTTCGGCCAGCACGTAGCATTTTGTCTTGTCCAGGTGCAGTTTGTCGATGAGCGAGTCGATGACCTCGGCGGCCGTGGAGGTTTTCCTGGCGGCGATGGGGCAGTAGATGGTGCCCTCGGCGATGCTCCCGGGGTAGATGTGCAGCGTGTACTCGCTATCCTCAAAGCGTCGTCTGCCTCCAACATCATTCACACTCATATTGGATCCTGGCCCATCAGTCCCTGGGCTGCATAGTCAGGACTGCGTGCTGGATCTTGTCAGGTCATCATGTTAGCAAGGCTGAAAAAAAATACAAATTAAAAACTGTTAGGTGTTGTGGGATCTCAGCACCTCAGGACTGAGGTGCTGGGCCACCGAGACCACCCTTGGGGGGCTCGGGAGTCCTGGAATGTTCCAGAAGTGTCTGGTGGCTGGACTTTGATCCTACACAGGAGACGACACCTGTATGAGGATAGGAGGGTTTCACCGGGGTGAATGGTGAAGG